ACTCTGCATGGGCTGGGTGATAGGAAATAATCCAAGCTTGCTAATCGATTATAGTTTTGTACTCAATTAACTTATCTCTTCTATTGTTTCTTAAAAAAACGGATACAATTTTGTATTCAGTTTCCTAACAACTCACAATATCAGTAGAACTATTTTCTAATTCAAAGGAAACATCTCTTTTGAACTAGTTGTGATTCTATCAAAAGCATTCGGAACTTTCAGGAAACCCTCTCAACAAATAAACTTGTGTAACTCACAAATATGGCTTGTTCAGGTAGGAAATCATAAGGGATTACAGAGAGCTTAAAATTTCAATTTTGAAAGAAACAAAGAATATAAAAGAAGTAAAAAAGAATAAGATTGACTTTACATTTTGAAGCTCAAATAGTTTGTTAGGCGTGGGACTCGATAACAACTGGACAGACATTGTCCAATTTTCGTCGATATTTGAAGTGAGAAAATTCAAAGTGTCTTCCGTTTCAATATAGCAAATGAGATAAAAGTTATGCTTTGGATTCGTTTTCTTATGGTATACTATGCAACAGTTACAATTTCAGTTTAGATATTTGGAACCGAAATGAATTGTCACTTTTTATCACAGCTTTGTTGAAACTCTAGTGGTTGTGATGTATAATATCCATGTTGTCCAACAACCAATGATGTATATATATATATATATATATTTCAAGAGCTTCAAGTAAAAAGGACGACAAAATACAAAACCATTTAACTAAACAACAGCTCCAGTCCATAGTTCAGTTATCACAAGACAAAAAGTTACTGGCTACCATAGTTTATACGTTCAAGAATGAATATCTAAGAATCTTTGAACAACAGGTATATAGCTTTGGAAAAAATAGACTCAACAAAAAGACAACTTGAGATGGAATTGTCTTTACAATTCTGAATGCATTTATGAAAGTCTTCTTTGACTATTTTGCAAACCAGTAATATAGAAAACAAATGTCATCCATTCTTTCTTTTCAAAATTTTCTTACTTCAACCTTGTTACTCTCCTTTTTGTTATGTGCGTTGAGCACCGTGGCCTTAAGTACTAGGAAGCATAACAGGATGGAAACGTGATTTTACCCTCAAAAATAACTTGTAACTATTTACATATGAGAATTCTGGCATCAAGCAGCTATCAGTATTTTATAGTCTATCAATTACTTGTAACCAAAAGGAGGACATCCAAAATTCAGCTCTATTCCAATCTCCCTCTCTGTCAAATGAGACAAAAGTATTGTGCTGTCTGGCATAGTCAGAAGCTTCAATAGTGAAATGTTTTTTGATATTTTAGAAAAAGCAGAATATTGTATGTTACTCAGCAAAGTAAAAGATAGAGGTGAATCTTGAAATATCCTTGCAAGAAATAGGGAGAAGTATTACAGCTTCTTGAGTTGCAACATTCAAAACTGTCGAGTCATTCTTCACCCTGCATCGAATCAAGGCTATTGGAACTTGGCATAGTTAATGTACTTTTATCGTTTCAATTGTTAGAATGGAGTATAACTTTTCTTCTTCTTCTTCTTCTTCTCTGGAACCATAACGTAAAAGGGACTTGCTTGAACTCAGACTGCATAGATGGCATCATTGAGGTACTCACACCGCAAGGTAATAAAGTGTTTCCATTTTCAATTGGATTCCAAATATGTTGTATTTTCAAGGAATTCTCGTTGGTTTTGTTAGATAAATAAAGGAAATTCACAGGTCAACAATAACTCAGCTCTAGTTCTTACAACACTAATTTGTTCTGTTGACCAAAATTCAGTTCCAACAAGTCTAAACGTTACATCGTATATTTTTGTTTGGTAGCTAACTATGTTACTAGGCATTGGAGTTTGTAAACACCATTTCCTTTTTGGCTGGTTTGTATAGAAGGAAAGGTTACAGTTCTCACGCCGCAAGCTAACAGAGTTTTACTCCCGCTCAAGTTGAAAAATTGACAAGTTTGCACTTTCTAAGCCATTTTTCCAGGTTTAGAGAGGTTACCAACAAAGGACGATTCTCAGGCCGAGAACAAGTCAAAAACTAGTTGTAGCAACAGCTTGTTCTCGTTTGTTATCGAAATAAGGTTCCAATAAGTCTGAAACTTACGTTGTAAAGATAATTTTGGTCCAATTCAACTCTGTTGAAAGGCTATATTGACAAGGAACTTTCTTATGACACTCACTGTCTCTCTTTTATTCCAACAATAGTATGACTTGAGATTGATTGTATCCTGGCCATTTATTTTCCCAGTAGCCTACAACAAAGCTCAAACTAGACATACAAGATACTATATCCAATGAGAGGAGACGGTATGTATCCATCCTTCACCGTCAGTGGTCTGGTTGAACATAACAATGGTTGGTTTGATGGAGTGAAAGATCCAGTGTTCTCAACGTTTTGGACTTGAGTTTCAGGTTTTCACTGAAACTTTTCCAAATTCCGTTTCCAACGGATTCATAGTTTATGTTGGATAAGTTGATGTCTATTATCCAGATTTTTTCTTTCAAGCCCTGGAACTGTTTTTCTTGTAACAGTCCATCAGGTTTTTCTGAGCTCTAAAATCTGAGCTCCAGTTATATTGTAGTTTTATTTGAGATTATTCAACATTTACTATCTTATTGACGTTGATGTATTCTATGCAAGAGTTGTTGTTATTTCAACTGTAGTCTTATATGGAAATTCGAGATTTGTATTGTAGAGAAAAGAGCCAAGACAAAGGAGTTACTGCTGTTGTTGAGTCTTAGTTTATATTACCAAGTAGTTGTCTCAAGTCCATTCAGTTTTATTGAGTATTGTTTCGAAGCAGTTTTACGAATTATGAGGAGTCCAAAGCCTTGTAGGTGGTTGTTGAGAATCAGCCCTTGGGTAGATATTTTGCAGGAGATTCTGAGAATTGTCTTTTGTTCAATACACACAGAGCTTCTATATTTTCGTTTTTGTCTTTTATGCGACTCTTTTCAAGGTGGAGAAGTCTGTCCTTAGCTCTGCAACATGTTTTGGGATGTAACAAAAACTATTTCATTTTCTAGGATAGTATATGAAAGTCTTAGTTAGGTCCATCACTGTGTTATGTGGAATAGTGGCTGGTATGATTATGGCTTTGAGACAATCCTGTCATGGAAACGAAAGCTGAATAGAGCCTTTTCTTTTTGAAAACAATGAAAAAGTTTTCTAATGAATATATGCTCAACTTGTTGAGAACCATTCAAAATCAAGCAAATAAAAGGACGTTCTTGAACGCCTTGGTTGTGTCCACCTGGTAAAAAGCTGTGACATTGGCGGTTTTAACTGCTGGTGGTAGTTGCATATTATTTTCGAAGTACCCCTTTATTTTTATGAATGACAAGGTTTTCAAGGGTGACTTATGTCTAAAACCATATGTAAGTTGTAAGAATGATAGTAGTGAAACGGGTAGCGATGTTGTTTTTGAAACGCGGCTATCAGAAGTTGTCATTGGGTAACTAATGTGGTGTGGTTGTTGAGAAGGGAAGTGGTACTAAGACGGTGTAAATGGAAAAAAAAGAAAAGGAGCTTTTCTGTGAAACAGTACTTGCCTCGTCAAAAGTGCTACTTACCTTTTTTTCCTCTCCCATTCACTCAAGGTTGTGTTGGTGAAAGTAGTGGTAGTTGTAGTTGACAAAACTTGAAAAGGAGACAACACATTTTGTGGAAAAATTCGTTTGGTAGGATAATAGATGAAGTAGCTCTGAAAGAAATTCACGAAAGATCGTAAGAATACCGACAATATTATATGAGTGCATATTGTTGTTATCAGAAGGACTCTCTTTTCCGACTAGAGTTTAGCTTTGATTTAGAAGGTACAGCTCAACAATTGGCAGATAACCCACGAATTATATACAAACAGACAGTTTGGTTTGCATACTTGCACGAACCATAAAACATTCCTGGAGCATCACAGTAAAATCAAGCAATTGACGACACAACTTGAAATTCATCTACAGCCACCATCACTACCACTACAAGAGTGAGCCCAAGCCCAACATGCTATGGCACAGTGTTTCGTTAGACAAGGAAAAAGAGTTGTATTTCTATCTTTTACTGTGTTCTTTGTTGTTGGCGTAACCAGAGAATCGTCATTGTGTTTTATTTATTTAGAATTGCACATGGAAATAAATAAGTGATGTTCTACTAGTTTTTTTACATATCATGGAAAAGTATGAATTATGACCTACTTGTTACCAGCATACAGGAAATTGTAATATTTTCTTTATAGAACACTATGAATGAATTACACACAGGCTTCTGTTGTACCTGACTATCAGTAGGAATTTCTCAAGTCCTTGAAAGGCTCAAGAGTAGCCCACCTTCTTTGAGTGTGAAAGACACAAAGACAAATTTGTGCACTTGTATCTTTGTTTCTGAGAATAGACGGATGACTAACATAATTGCTTACTTTTGCAGTCTATTATAACTCGACATTTTTGAGTCACAGTTTCTGGTTTCTTTTGTTCTAGTGTCTCACCAATAGTTTTGTTTCGTGAAATTGGGATACCCGCTCTTTTATTGTACACGACTTTACTGTGGGTGTTTCCAATTGGTTACTCAGTCTTTTTGGGTTTCTCCCTCACAAGAGAGAGTTTAACACAGAGTCAAGTTGCAAGATTGGTTTCATCTCACACATGTTGAAGAAGAGAAAGATAGAAGTGAATAGGTTTTTGTTGTGATTGACAGGACCCTGGAACTCGACGTCATGGAGTTGACATTTGAAAACGAAAGCTGAAAACAAACCTCTTTTTCTTTGAGAGCAAAGGAAAAGTTTTCAAGTCAAAAAGCATGTTAAAGCTGTTGAAACGAGGAACTAAAGGAAGAAACAAGGCAGAATTGAAAACCTAGGATATCCCTTAAGGGTAGAAGTTGTGGCATTGATGTTTGTATCAGCTAGTAACTGAACTGTTTCTTTGGAAGACTTCTTTTTTGTTAGTTGTAACGACCATATTTCGTTTGCAAGATTGATAATAGTGAAGCTGGTACCGTTGATATTCCTAAAAAATCGGCTGCTTGGAGTTGAGACAAGGAGAAGAGTAGTGTTAGGAATATTGTGTAAATGATTGACAGGGAGGCTTGAAGAACAGCACTTGGCTCTTCAAGAATGCTGTTGACCTGCTCTTTCTTCCAACTTACTTAAGTTCTTTATGGTGAAAGTGATGACACATTACAATATTTCAAAAACAGTTTGTGATTGGGTAGCGAAACAAGTTAGTCTTGAAAGAACTTCATGAAAGGTTGTAAGAACAGCTACATCATTGTTCGACTGTAAATGGATGCCAACAAAAATATTTTCGTATCGAAATATAGCCTAACATCTGGTATATAGTCTTAAGTCAACGCAAAGGTTCATTTTATAGGAAGCATAAAACATTTCTCGAACACCGCAGCAAAATCAAGCAATTGACGAACACAACTTGAAATTCTACTACTTACTATCACAACAACTGTGACAACAAGTGTTAGGCCAAGCCAACAGGCCGTGATATAGTCATTTAGTTGACAAGGAAGAGGATTTATATTTCTATCTTTTTACTGTTTTCTACATTGAAAGAAATAAGTGTTGTTCTATTATCTGCTGTCCTGTGTTACATCAATGATCGTTTTTTGTCATAAAAGTATGGGTTTTGACCCACTTGTACCATATAGGAAACTGTAGTTCTTACTTGGTAGAATATAATGAATCATCATTTACACACAGACTTTTCCTGTACGTGACTGTCAACAAGAATATATTACAGGTTCATCCTGATTTCATTCAATACAGTTTGCTTTATTGAATCCAATATTGAATGATCATGTGTTTCTGGAATATAAGAAATGTGTTGCTTTTCATAGGCATAGATAAATCAGCATCCTCTATTTTTTTATCCTTACCGAATTTAATTGGACTTTGTTTGAATCCAATGATTCTTATTGTTCTTGAGGCATCTTCTAGTCCCGTAAAATTGTCACTTTGTTGATAAAGATATTTTTTGCTAAAAGTCAATTTTTTGTACTCATTGACGTGAAGGATGAGGGTAGTCATCTTCTCGCATTATCTAATCTTTTCAAAAAAGTTGCAAGTACTCAACACCAAAATACAGAACTTGCATTGTAAAAAAGTGTGACGATAGTAAACTATAGTATTCGCAGACTATCGAATTACTTGATTTAGAAGAAGATTCAACTACACTGTAGACGACTGGGTACGAATGGGCTGGGATAAGCAGTAAAGCAATCTTGTCGGTACAAGCTATTGAATCCAAGAAAAACTATTTTACATTTTCGTCTTATTGTTTTATATCCTTTAAAAAATACACCTGGATGTATTAAAGAGAAATGAAATAAATGATTCCCTAGCTCAATATGCTGAAGCAACATTTTTATGAAATAAAGATCTTGAATTTGATTCTCACTAGAAACATCTACGATACTCTGGTCGTCATTAGTAGACAAGGTATTTTCTACCAGACCAGTATTTCATACCGGTAAAGGTGGAGCGTATATGGCACTCTTTTCTTCGTTTACCCATTTTATTTATATGCATATCCTGTTTTTGCATACTACAATATAAGAAATGGGCCTTTCGTAACGCATTGCTTTTTATGTATGCTTATTTTTTGACATCTGTAATGATGACAAGTTGCAGAGTGCTTGAAAGAAATCATTATTTTCGACAACATTTATCTTTTTTACACTCACTTTGTTCTTCTTCTTTCTTCTTTTCTTATTGAATATGAGTACCATACAATCTCAATGTTAGAAGACTACTAAATTTCTTTTCGAAATGGTAAACTGTGGACTAGAACAAAGAACGTACTATCTGACTTGTAGGTTCGTTATTCGAAGTTTTGTGGAGATTGTGCTGTACATAGCTGTCAATTTTCTTATTGGTGTGACAAGTCATAACCACAACATCCATAGGAAGAACAACATCAACTCGATGATTCAACTAGATTTCAATTCTGTTCCAAGGAGAAAAATACCATTCCTCATCATTATTGTCAAATAATTCTTGTATTCAAATCAACCACTTTTTTGTCCATCAACCAACTGACTGAAACGAAATTGGGAACATTGTTTCCAATCCAAAAATCACATAAAACTCTGACCATATACGAGTGGAAATGATTATGGAAATATGGTTTACTTCTTGGTTTGCATCTTTGACAACAACAACAACAACAACAGCAGCAACTCTCAGAGGAGATAGGAGCACATCTCCCATTATGCCATTATTCTCAGAGAGTCATAAGTACGCTACTTGTTCAATAATTTTTCATTTATTTAGAATTGTGGTTGGTGTTTTCATATCACTCTTTTACCCATCTGGATAATTCAATACATCCTTAATTAAATTTTGGAACAGATTTGTTTTTCGATCTAATTGACAAGAGAATTTACAAAGGTGAAATGAGCCACTGTTGAGAAATCAGTTTGAATTCAACTGATTCCAATATCATAGTTGTAGTTATCTCAAACCAAGTTGAAACCGCAATGAGTGAAAACAAGTAGTTGTACAAAACTGAGCTGGTAATCAGCTATCAAGATGGGCCACGTCCTTGGCTTGATGGAATCAGGTCGACTTGTTTGGATCAGGAATAGTTTCTTGAATTTCAAAAATAGGAATTAATTCTCTTGGTGAGAAACCGCTGCCTTTAGAAACGCACGATTTGGGCAGAAAAGGAGGTGTTTGGTATTTTATTGCACTATTTAGCCCAATTAGAATCTCAAGTTTCATTTCTTTTTAGAAAGGCACCATAATCTATCCTTACTACTTTTGTATTGAGCTTGGTGTTAAATAGAAATACTTGACCTTTTTTATATGATTTCATACTTGTATGGATGACACTATGGAAAAATACTCATTATATGTTATTCTCAGTTATCCTCAACCTTTTCTAAATGTTTGTCGCCTGTTGAATATGCGTCATAGTTTCATAAAAACATTTGGTATCAGTCAATCTTCCTAGTTTTGTGTTTATAAATTGTATGGTTTGGATAGAACCAATTTGACTACTATCTGTTCTATTATTGAAGCTTCTCCAAAGGCTGCTTTGATGGTATAAAACTTGCATATTCCCCCATTTCATTGCAGAATCATAGGCATACGAGGCAATTCAACTCATTTGGAATTGTATGTCTTGGTACTATAGAGATCATTTTTCTTTTAATTTAGAACGTAAACATTAAGATGTATTTTCTTTGTAAGATTTGAATCCACATAGCAGCTTGACAAAAAGAGTGACAAAGTACTTTCATTATAATCTCGTATTGGAAGTAATTCAAGTCATACTGAGATACCTGTACATGTCTGTTTACTATCTATGGCGAAAAGTTGTCTCTTATTTTTGGTACATTGAGCTATTCTAAGATCAAGCTAATCAATGGTACAGCTTATACTGGGTCATGGTTCTTACACAATTGAGTCGCTGTTATCGTCTTGGTAAGAAAATTGTGTTTGACTTTTGTTGACTGATTGCTTAATTGATTGCATTTTGTTGTACTAGCTTATTTAACAAGTGACAAAGCATGTGCAGTTGGATTTGTGAGATTGACTGATTCCAGTATATGAGAAATAGTAAGAGGACGACTCTATTGAAAAAGAGGATTTAAGAGTGCACTTTAGACTGATTGTGGATTTGCACATCAAAGACAATGTTGTTACTATTGAAGAGTTTCGTAAAAAGTATGCGATATTGATAGCAATGGGTTATATTTGCATTTTCAAGTTGAATGTGAATTGGATACTGCTAATAGATTGAGATGGGTCCTTTGCACTAGATTGGGTTGTCTTGTCGATTACAAGTCCGTTCTCTCATTAAGGTCTTCTAGCATTTCACTAGAAACCTCGTTGTCTCATAAGAAGAATTGCCACATCCGAGACTTTGGCTCATATAGTATTTATATGTTCCCATAATTGACCAGAGGAGACGTTGGATAGTTGCTATTTTGCAGAGCGAGGATTTCGTTAGTACGATTGGTTCCGGTTCTGAACAACAAGTTGACCACCAGTGTACACATTTTATACATTCTTTCTACACTCCCATATACCCTCACATTCTATAGTGTCCTTTTTCTTACTTTGTAAAGTAGTATCTATTGAGCCTTTTTTCTTGTTTGTACAGCTTGTTGAATGAATTGAGAAAAATTCATTTCATT